TTTTGAATTAGATATATATGATCGCATTATCCATGACCTTAGTTTTGGAATGATTGCATGACATAACAAGAAATGTTGGCGGAACTTTGGCTTTTTTGCTTTATCTCTATCAATCTCTCACTTTCATCTGATAGAGAGAGTGATTTTACCGGTTAGAGAAATGGGAGCTTCACCTTGATGGTCTACGGATGATGGATGGATGGTGGTTATGGGGCTTGTTGCAATAGGCTAGGCTTGTAAAGAGTCTTTATCCACAAGGGCTAAAGCTAGCTGCTTGTGCACTCCTGTCGGTCAAGTGCCCCCAAAAATAAGGGGACACTGTTCATGATGCTGATGTGAGTAAGTCAATCCCACCTGGCCGAACAATTCAAAATAAGTGAACGTTGAGAAAATCTTGGTTGCAACGATATTATTTTATTATTTTTAATTAATAATCGCTATGTCATGTGAAAAAGTTTTCACATTTATTATATTATGTTTTAATTTTATCCTTTGGTTAATTAGATACATTATTATGAATATACACGTAGATACGTTATTGTAGGTGTATATATTATTTGTAGGTACATTGTTCGTACTGCGTATATATTCATAATAACGTACCTAAACCTAATACAAAGAACTCGAATCATAATCAGATCTTGTTAGCAGACTATTACCATTACATGCAGCCTTAGAAACCATTCTTTTATGTTGGGAGAAAAATTGATAATGGCATCCACTCTCTAATAGCATATGAATATCCGGATGAGAGAATAATTATATATATTATTAGAAACCATCTTCCTATCCACCGTCACTTGTATCTTAATTCCTAGTGAGACATAGAGAATAAATATAAGGAGAGTTTGCTTAATAGTTTCCAACTTTCTAGTAATTAAGTTATTAACCCCGTGATTCTGTTGATAATTGATATCACGTCACATTGTCTAGAATTTTGATTAATTTTGCGAGGCCAGCTAGCAATCTTTATGTTAAGATAAGATATCATTGCCCTGGGAACAGTAGACCTACCGATACCTAGCTATCACCTAAGCTGAGAGATATCTAGTTGACTAGAATTTCATGCAATCTAGGCATGAACAGTGCTACTATTCAATAATTCAGCTACCTGTGTGTAGTGCTCTGGGAAAAAGCAGTCTGGGAAAAGCTGAAATGAAGAAAATTTCCAATTAAACTGGATTCTAGCTGGACTCAGCTTTTGTAGATCTTGGCGTCAACCGGTGACATAATCTTGGCTTTAGCTTTTCAGGATATCATTGCCACTAGAAAAATAGAAATTCTTGTCTAATTAGTGAGCGGTTTAGGTTAAAATTAATCATGTTTGTCATGTCTGTTTGAGGCATTCTACGACATGAAGAAAGAGACTTTTATTTTTTTATTATTTTTTCAAATGAAGAAAGAGACTTAATCATTTTAATTACATAAAAATGAACTAAAAGCCATCATCACTAGATAAATAGCTGCTATACAACACAAGGCCTAATAAGGAATACTTCCTAATTGGGAAGAACACGACATTTAACAAAATCATGATTGGTTCTTTTTTTCTCAAATATATTACAATTCTTGATCCAACTGTGAGCACAAAAGGAAAAAAAAAGAAAAGAAAAAGAAGAACCAACCAAATTGGTTGAGGCCACAAATCACATGGCCAATAAATATGAGTCTGTCGGCTACTTTTCAAGGCCAGGATTGGAAGAGGGGTTGGTGATATCGATATATGTTACACTTTGTGTCGAAAATAAAACATTTTGATTATGGTCTAGCATGTAGGAGAGGATAAACATTTATCTAAAGTTGAAAACGGAAACAAGAACTTGACAAGATAGATCACAAATATCCATAAAGAAATGCAACAAAAAGATAATCAACGAGATTTAGTTCAATGGGAAATTTTTTGACTTCTAGATTAGTAATTTCAGTTTTAAATTCTCATGAGGAGAATAGAGGAAGAGGAGAATGGAGGAAGAGGAGAGGGGATAGGGGAGGAAGAACAGTGACTTCCTCCCCCTCAACTTGAAAACAGCTCTATGAGTGTTTTTTTGGGAAAGAAGGGGCTAGGGTTTCTCTCCATCAAACCTATATATTTAAGTTGTTTTAAATATTAGCCCAGTATATATTAACTTAATAAAGTTAAAAAAGAAATTAATTTTTTTATGAATTTAGTTGCAGGCAAGCAATAAAAATACACACTAAAATAGGTACACTTACAATTCTATTGTTGAACATATTTTTATTTTGATAAGATGTGCTTTTTGATTGCCTTTAATATGTATTTTTTATATGATAAAGCTTGTTGGAACTTAGTCAATGAAACTATGAATTAACGTGATTTATATGATTTATTGTTTACTTTTACTTCTAGACCCGTTAAAAAAATCATAATTCTACCCTTAAGCTTCTTGAAAAATTTAAATTATCACTTGTATTAAAATTAAAAATAATAAGAATAATAACGGGGAGTGAAAAATGTGTGTAGGGGAAGGGGTGGGGGAGGGGTTGTGATTCCAAGGCAACGATTATGCATCGTTAACATGAGCTTAGATTCCCTATAATTTTGTTTTTGGTTCCCTAATCAAAAGCAAAAGCATCAATTTGATTAGGACCATGAAGTTCATGTCCAATCCTAAAGATCAATTGGCTTAGGTAAAACCTTTCAGCCCATCGTTTCATGTCCCCATAGAGGCAGGCTGGTGGGGGCCTCATGGTGCGAAGACCCGCTTGACCACAAGTACACATAATTTTTTTTAAAAATTATTTATATACTTTTTATCAAAAAGAAGTATCTCTTTTAGATAATGATTGCAGTCATATGGACTTGTGGAGGAGTAGGGGCAAAAAAATACCTGAGCTTTTCCCATATGCTTATGGATTAATGGTGTGACAATTCATAAAAAGAGAGAAATAAGAAATAAGATTGTAGAGAGAGAAAATTGGGTGCTTGAGACCAGGTAAGGTGGGGAGCATATTCATATGAAGGTTGAAAATAAACAATGCAGATAGGCAAGTAGGCTGTATGAATGTGTTCCTTTGCTTTAAATGGGATTTGGGTTAGCTGCCATATTTTCCAATAGAAACAGTTTTAAGAGGGGGTTGCATGTGGACCATGACTGTTTTGAAGAATGGCTGGTGTGTCTGGATAGTGCTATGGAAAATGGAGATATAAGCATGCTGTTGATTATCTTTAATAATTTTATATTGAATTTGAGGAGAATTGTTGGTTGGTTTTTTCTTATGGGTTTGTGCTTCTTCTGACTGTCTCTGTGTGTGTGTGTGTGTGTTTGTGTTTCTGAGGTGGTGTTGAAAGATAGGGGTTTATAGGGGCTTGGTCCCATTTGCAAATGCATCTAAAAAGGGAGAGAAGTGGTGTGTTATGTCCCCCTGCAAATTGACCCCCATAAAGAATGAAAAAGGGAATTGTATAATTGTGTCTTGTTTAGTTTCCTTTTGGCCCCCCCTTCTCTTCTCTTCTCCCCCTCCTTTCATGAAAGGGAGGTGGATGATGAGGAAAAGCACAGTTTTGAGTTTGCCCCCACACAGCCCCTCCTAATTGAATCATATTTCTGTTCTTTGATGGTAGGTGTCAGTTAGAAGCACCTAGACATTGCTATCAACTGCACCATTGCCAGATTGCCCCATACCTAACAGCAATGAACCCCCTTCAACACAACATTCATCCTAGATTAAGCAAAGTTTCTTGTTTATTATATATAGACTTTGTTTCTTCTCTCAAATTCAACAATTTATCCGTTTTTGAGGACTTAATTAATGTCTATGCATTTACTTTGGCGGTTATGTTAAGAAGAAAACTTTCATGTAACAGATGAATGAAACATCTTTCTACAACACTCATCATGTAAAAACCTTATACATGCATCATCACTATGGGGTATGTAAGTTTTTCTTCATGTTGAGGGCCAATGATGACATAATCAAATTTCATGAAATCGCAACCCTAAAAAATACGAGTCAAAACTTTCACGTAACGGAGAAATGAAACATATGTGTCTACAACACTCATCAAGTAAACAACTCACACGCCTCATCACTATAGGGTATGTAAGTTTTTCTTCACGGTGAGGGCCAGTGATGACAGAAGCAAATTTCATTGAATCCCAACCCTAAAACAAAAGAGGCTCAAAAAAGCATGCTCAATGAGTTGTGCCACAAGGTGAAGGTGGTGTCAAATGGGTTCATTGATTTGCATTGACAAGCATGCCACAAGGTGAAAGTGATAGTTTAACTGATATGTAGACCAAATCGCTGCTGAGTTTGCTTGCTAGTGCGTAACACGGCATCTTGCAACAATGAGGATGATATTTGTCATGAATTGGCAATTTTTACATTAATTGTGATTTATGATGGCCTCTTTGATTGAACAATACATGATGTTAATTCATTGGTGTCAACTCAGACATGATAACATTTTCAGCACTTTCACAAATCATATCCTTAAAGTTTTAAAGAAAAGTAGAACTTTGGGTAGCTCCAAATCCACATTTATCAAACACTAATAAATGTCTGATGTGAAATGTGTAGTGTGACATGGCCTTTTTTGGAGCCCAATTTATAGGATAAAAGATCTACAATAGGATAAATGAACCCACAATCCCTAGAAGAAAGAAGGAACAATACAATAATTCAAATCCTAGACAACGAGTTTAGAAGTACAAAATAAAATCAATAGGAGAAGAAAGCAATGTTATTCTGTCATCCTGATGTCCGCATGTTATTATCGTGTGGACGTTGTTGTAAACAGGGAGGAAATAAGGGAGAGGTTGTAGAAAATACATGGCGTCCGTATAGGAGAATTTCTGAAAGAAAGCAAATGCAAAAAAGCAGAAAATTCAATTCCACATTTTTCTCCCTTATAATTTTTCATTCAATTTTTCAGCGCCAATTCCTCTTGGCTATTACATGTAGGATTGCTTGCAACATCACTGATCTCTTTCTTAGACAATCAAAGACTGCCTTGTAATGAAGTTTATATAGACATCTTACTCAAACACTGAAACCTCTCCATTCCAACTGCATGAAGCAATCACATTAGGTATGCTGGGGTGGATAGCAATGTCAATGCAAGCCTGCTCATATGCCTTGATTCTTCTGACAAGCTCAGAAGACCTATAGTCGTAGAAGTATATAGAACCATCGGAGGAGCCCGAGATTAGCTTTTCCCCATCCACGCTAAACACGCATTTAATGGGAAACCCTGATACCCCATGGCTTTCATACCTCTTGTACTTGTTCAGCTTGAAGGGGGGGATTGAAGAGAAGATTGCAATATAATTACCATTTGACTGGGCAACGAAAAATGGTTCAAATGTGTGGCATCTCACACAGGGACATGTGTAGGCTTCCACATAAACCTGATACAGAGGGAATATCAGTTTTATAGGACCTCAACCTAAGGGAATGGAACATGCACGAAGCTATGTGATTAATGATCGAACATGTTGCAGAAAAATGGCCGAACAGGTAGCAGAAAAATGGTCAAACAGGTAGCAGAAAAATGGTTTAATGATCACAAATGTGGATACAGTAAACGCACCATAAAAACGATACACCAACAAAAAAGGGAGCAGCATGGAGCAATCTCTCAATTGATATTGCATAGCAAATTTAATCTCAGAATAGCTACTATGCAATTGCCTACGATTAGGCTCTATGGTTTCGATTACAAATATTGCTTTCGAATTTTGATCATACGTTTCTTTCACTAGTAGCAATGTTAGCACCCCACTGTTGAAACCAATTTCTCTCAAAGGTAAATGGAAATGGTACATGGACCTGCATGATTTACAATATTGGCTAACAAAAACTTTTTAACCCTACTCTAGACAGATTATCATCTGAAGGACAATAAAGCGTTATAATATACTACCCTCAACCATTGCTCTTTTGAGAGAAAAATTCAAAAGCCAATGTACAACAATTCTAGTTTGAGCTTACTCTGAAGTATTGAACATTTACTGTTTCTTACTTTCAACAATTTATCATCAATATCCCTGACGTGATGGAACCCACATTTGAGAAGACTTATAAAAATGAGAGCTGACTAAAAGTTGCCAAAACATGTTTTCTATGACATAATGAATTAAAACTAAGTCGTATGAATATTACCTATTTGAATGAAGTCAATTGATATTCTATACACTATTCAAATTATAAAGGATGACACACAAAATTTACATTATAATAATTATATTTTATAGATTAAAAGGCTTCAGAACCCTTCACTTCTGTACTCCATAGGTATTGCCATCAGAATAAAAATCCACTGGATGCTTAAAACTGAAAAGTTTGTTTTTCAAATTGTGAATCGTTTATATCAGATGCGTCCAAGAATATTCTTATTCAATTGTTTGGTAATGTGCCAAAAGGAAAATTGATGAGTGCCCGAGTCCAACATGAGTACATCAGATTAAAACTGTCCATGCAAGAACCATTATCAAGTGATGAAAGCAGAGCAACTGAGCAACAAGAAATATCCGAGTTGAACCTTAAGCATTTTATCAAACAAACCTAATCATTATGTAGTGAATAGTATTATAAAATAAATTAAGATCTCACTAATGCTTCAGTATCAGAATAAAAAATATGGCTCCTATGATATGTATAGTACTACCAAATCCTGCATAACAAAATTAATTAAACATATCCTGCAGAATCTTTCTTTGAAAAAACAAAGAAAAGAAGTAATTTACATTTAGTGTGAATCAGTTAAAACTAACTTCATTTTCATGTCTGAATATTTCATAAGAATACATCTTCTTTCTGATCCAATGAGGTTGATGTATTTAAAAGATACTGAAATATATGTTTGCCAACAACCATGGTTTTTTTGCTGCCAAAGGAGAATTATCACCTTCTGAGCATTGAACAAGCACATATCATGATGTTTAATTACTTTACTTACTTGAAATCAAAAGGAGAAGGAATCAGAATAGGAATCATAATGATGCATTGTCAGTTTTTCTAACTACCAGGAATTGGAAGCAGAATCATGATGATTCCAATTTAAATGTTTATTAACTTTCAGGAATCAAAATCAAAATGAGTCTGATCACTAATCTAGTACAAAATAAAATATTTTAACTACTGACTAATAGATATTTCAAATGTCAAAAAGCACGTGTTATGACTCCAAAGAAGTAAGAGATCCAAACATTGGAAATTTCTATAGTTACGACACGACCATTGAACAGATTATGTGCAACATATTCAACATGAATCGTGTCACGTAAATAAGCTGACACAGCCAACATCTATAGCATCACATATCTTTCATCATTAAGAAGATAATTACAGAAGGCCTTGTATTATATCTACATCTTAAGTATACAATGCATGCTAACCAAATTAATTCATTATAGGCAGGTCCAAGTCTCACAAGCGTTGAACAGAAGACTAGATGATAACATATAATGAAATCTAGAAAGGTCAAATAGAAGAGGATTTCCAAAAAGACCGTAAAACAACGTTACAAGGATGAATGCAAGTTCTTACAGGATAATGCATAATTAATGTACATACAAGTTATGCTCAATATATAAACAGGATATGCAAGGGCAACCATATCTGTAATCAATTGCGTAAGGATGTAATTTTTATAAATGCATGAAACACACTGCATTTGCAACACATATTGAAGCAAGAACTGGAAGAAGTCTCTTACCTGATTAGAGAGTGGAACTTGTCGTGAAACATCCCAAACAACAATAGAATTTTCACTAAGGTTGCGTCCAGATACATCACTAGATGATATAATCTGCTTGCCATTCGTGGTGAATTCAACATCAAGGATAGGATCATGACCTCGAACGTATTCATGGACCGCCTTGCCATTTCTAACATCCCACAACCTCAGACCGCCTTTGGATCCCCCAGAAACAAAGAGGTTGAAATTATCAGGATGGAATTTAACAACACTAACAACTTGATCCTCCTTAAAAACCTGAGTCTCTATCCCCCTTTCAACATCCACTAACTTTGATGAGGAGTCATATCCACAAGAAAGTACAAACAACCCTTGCCCCGACCATTTCACATCTTTGATAGCAGCATTGTGAAAATTCAAAACACGGGCTACCTTCTGATCACTGCTCCACACATTCCATATGCAGATTGTTTGATCCATCGAAGCAGAGGCAAGAAGATGAGCTGTAGACTAACTCCAATGAACAGATCAATAAGGCAAGTGAGCTTTAAATGCAACTGGCATATACAAAATAGAATATTGCTTGTTTAAGGATTTAATCTAAACAACTGACAAAACAACCTTCTACTCAAATTAATAAACCAATAAATTCAATCGTCAGAAGTATTATAAGGGCATCCAAGAACCAATTTTTTTAGCAAAATTTTGTGCCACAAGACCACTAATCCAAAAGGATAAGTGTCAATACACGAGTTGGTGAACAAGCAGAGCTTACCATGAGTTGGTGACCAATGTACAGCATTAACAGCTTTGGTATGTCTGCTTAGAGGCACAGACATTCTTTGAGGCATCTGGCCAAGCTGTGCACGACCCTTTCTTGCTTTGTTTCTCAACAAAGACTTAATATCACGAGGAACATCAGAATCCGAAATACTCCCAAAAACTGCCAGCAAACAACATGACTGACTACATCAGTATACCATACACATATGCTATGCAAATATGCACATGAATGTGACATTGTCAACTTAAGTGAACCCGTCATGAGCATTTCTTTTTCTTCCAAATTTAGTAATTTACATTCTTAAGTTTCTACAAATAAATAAAAAAACGTGAATTTATGAATATTTCCAAATGGAAAGAACAAAGTACCAGGCGAGGTCGTCAGCAGCAAAGCATCCGGGTTCGGGTCGGGGGCGGTAGGTTGGGAACCCAAGAGACCGCGCTCTCTCTTGGATACGTATCTACCAGGAACCGGAGCTTCTATACGGAGGGCCGGGAACTGGGTTGAGTCCGACAGAGGATTCTGAGTTTTAGTATGTGTAAATGGGTTATCGGGTTTGAGCCGCTTCGAATTCGGGGGCGTGAAGTTTTCGGGTCTGGGTTGTTTAGCTGATTCTTCTTCCTCTTCTTCGTTGTCTGAGGCGTTTGAGTATGCGTTGCAGAGAAGATCCATGTCTCAAGTCTCAAATCCAGGAGCTTTGCTGCTTCTCAAATTCTCATTGCCTTTTATCCTCTGCCATCGAGGTGGAAGCTGCGGCCAGTCTTGCCAGAACCTTGTGCAGGCAATTGGAGACTTTACCAGCTCAATCAATTGGTCTTGGCTTCGTCTCGAAGCTGACGCCGCCGCCAAATGGAGCAATTGGGCTCTTTTGAGGTGTTTGTTAAGATTGTTCACTGTTTCAAGGGAGACCCACTTATACATTGGGCTCATAAGCATATATATGAGAGCAGAGCCTTACTGAACTTGGGCTCAAGCATCTTGAAGACTGGTTTATGGTTTATAATACAACAGAGTTGGCCTGTGATTTTCTTCTTTATACAAGCGATAGTTGACGGAGGGGAAATCAAACATATGATCTCAAATGCATGGATAAATACTATTAACCTCGAGTCCAGATATTTCTTCCCCTCCGTGTCCCTTATCTAACTTTTTGACACATGCCCTTTCAATTAACCATAACATAACAGTATTAGATTTTAATAAAATTAAAACTAAGGCTTAACGTCAAAATGGTCCATGTGTTTTATCTGTTGGCCAATTTAGTCTCTATATTTTCAATTTGGTCAATTTAGTCCCTATGTTTAAAACTGTTAACCAATGTAGTCCGATCTGTTAAATTTTCCGTTAAATAAACATTATCCACTTTTTTGCCTTTTAAAAACCTATAAATCTTTTTAAAATTAATAAAAATTTGAATTAACTTAAAAATTCCCAATTAACAACACTTGATGGATAGGACCTCAGAGAAACTAAATTAGCATCATCTTGATCGACCCTAACACAAGCACAAGTCGTAATTGAGTTTAAAAGACAATATCTTTGAAAACCCATATATATGGGCAATCTAAAACTATAAGAAATTTCATTCTTTTAGCTAGGGGTGGGCGCGGTCCGGTTCAATCTAATTTGGACCTCACACTGGAATTGAAATCGGTACTGTTCAATTGGTTCGGTTTGGTTCCATTTTTAGGAAAAATAGGAGGAAAATCGCACCAAGCCGAATTACCTATTCCCGGTGCGGTTTTCCAGTTTGGATCGATTACCTTCTATTTTTCGGGGTTCCCTTTTGTTGGACTAAAGTAACATATAAGGTCCTGTTTCACATTTGTATAACAATTGGGCCTAAACTTTAATAATTTCAACATGTCATGCAATCTAATTCAATCTAATTTCACATTTCAATTGGGCCTAAATTTTAATTAAAGCATATCTTTCACATTCAATACAATCCAACAAAGCAAACAACATATACATGATACATGCATATGCATTTTAACTTCTAAACACAAAACATGCATGCTGCCATGTGTCATCCAATCTAAACATACAATCTTAAGAAATACAAACCAATATAAAAATTTATTATTAAATTACAAACCAAATTAAAAATTCTAAACATAAGCCAAAAATTAAAACATAACATCACCAATGGAAGCTTCACATATCAAGTGATCATTGAAAAGTAGCAAGACTTAAATGGGTAGGTGTGAGTAAACTCTTAAGATCTATAAATAAAAACATAAACACATTAAAACATTAGGCAAGCATGCAATATATATATATATATATATATATATATATATATATAGAGTATACATTATTAAATCACATAAAACTTGAAACAAATACTTGACTCAATGGATTTATAAAACTCAATCTCTTGAATGGTTGGCTCACATTGTATAAAACAGATGTCATCGGACCTTAATCAATTTTGAGAACAAATTAAGGCATTCATAATCTTAGGATTTAAAGAAGCATGGAATGAATTAACCACCCGTGTTAAAGCATGATTCCGAAGGCAATGTTGATACGGGAATAACAAGCACATCCTTCGTAATAAGTGACAAACCCAAATATTTAACCCCATTCAATTTCCACCACTTCAAAATATCGAAGTTGGGAATCACTTTTTCAATTGGGTCGGTTAAATACCTATCAATTTCATGCTCCAATATCACAGTATTCCTTGCTTGAGATTCTTTTATCAAACTTTCCTTCATTTTCCAAAGGTGCTTTCCTCCTCCTTTTTTGTTAGAACTTGTCATGGTGGTACTAATAGTAGAACTAGTCCCTTGAGTAGTAGGAGGTGGTGAGATAGCATACTCGTCATAAAGCTTCATTAAAAACTCTTTCACTTACTTTCTTTTTCTTAGAAGCATCTTGCGGGATTTCAAACCTCCTCTTTAATACAAAATCCAAGTTCCCTAACTTGTCCCAAGGATCAAGAACAAGTGCTATCATCAAAAGTTGGTTCACTTTACCAAGGTCACCCTAATACTTCTCAAATTTCATCTTCATGCTACATGTCATATTTTCAAAACCATAGAGGTGTGAGTTGACTTGGTAATTGCTTTCCAAAGAACAAATCACCAATTTCACCCTCCATTACAATCAAATTATGAAAAGTGGTGTGGGAAGTGGGATGCAAAGAAACACTCATATTCAATATCATATTATAAATGACCTTTTAAAAATTGACAAAGGTAAGAGCATTTCTCCAATCTTCCTTAGTTGGTGGCCCTACCCTCTTTTTAGGCCTAGATGCAACCACCCCCTCATCTTCCCTAACCAGTTCATCTTCACCAAATCAAGATGCAAATGGGGCATCATCATCTTCTCCCATTCTCACAAAGGTTTTTTCAAACCTCAAAACGGTATCCAACATCATATATGTTTAATTCTACTTAGTTGGAACATCCAACACCACAAGCCCTTTACATTCAATTCGCTCTTTCAAAACACAAGTTTTAAATTCTTCTAATATTTGTGGAGAAGATCTTACATACTTAACCGCATTCCTTATTGACAATATGCTTTTCTCTAGTTTTTTCAAGCCATCTTGAACAATCAAATTGATAATATGAGCACAACACCTCACATGCATGTACTTTCCTTCCAACACAAGACTACCATTTTTCCAATGACCCATCTCCGACTTCAAGTAATCTATTGATTTCATGTTTGAAGAAGCATTATTGGTCATGATTGCGAGTATCTTCTTTAAATCCCAATGAAGCAAACAAGTTTCAAGAAGTTTACCAATTGAGTTCCTCTTGTGGTTAGTATTGACATAAAAGTTCAAAACTCTTATGTGCAAATTCCATTCACTATTTATAAAGTGTGTCGTGATCATCATGTAATTTATATTTTGAACATTTGTGCAAGTGTCTGTTGTGAGGCACACTCTATGTGATGCTAATTATCTTTTCAACTTTTGTTTCATCTCATCATAAATAGCCATAAAATGACTTACAAGTGTCCTATGAGATAGCACTTGGAAATGAGGGTTCAATGATTAACAAAATCTCCTAAACCATTCACCTTCAACAACACTAAAATGTAACTCATCTATTACTACCATTTCTATACAAGACCTTAACCAATCTTCTTTAGTATGCCGGGTTGTTGAAAGACCACTAAGTTCTTGGTCAAAAGACAAAATCTTTTGTCTTTTATCATTGTCAACCCTTCTGGGGTATTTCTTACATAGTGACTCAATATGTTTCCTCAAACTTGATGTCCCATTCAAATTGGGGTACGCGACATAAGTAATAGAGCTATTCTTGCACCTAGCTCTCTTTTTACACATCAACGATTTTTTCCCATCCTTCTTCACACTCTCAACCGCATCATCATATTTTTCAAAGTAATCCCATACCTCCGATTTTTCTCTTGATATGATTTTTTAGTCTCGGAATAAGGTAATAGTGGAAGACCACTTGATTTTTCTCCCATCCTTCTTCACACTTGCACGTAGCTCTATTTTTACATATCAAATATTTGCTCCCATCCTCACACTCTCAACCACATCATCATATTTTTCAAAGTGATCCCATACCTCCAATTTTTCCCTTGATGATTTTCTAGTCTTAGAACGAGGTAATGGTGAAAGACCACTTAGTTGAGAAGGTGTTTGGGCTTGAGGTTGGGTTACTTGTAAGCTAGGTAATGGTGATGGTGATGATGTGAATGTGGAAAAAGAACATATTTCATTACTATTACTAGGCAATTGTTCAAATTGGTCCATCCCGCCTTTAATAAGAACCTAATATCAAAACAAAACCAACTTAGCAGCAGGATGCCCTAATTAATAATTATGCAAGGCTCGTAGAACCTAAAAACATACCTAAAAAACAATTAAACAAAAATCATAACATAATTTAACAATCCAAAAAACCAAAAGTCATAACCAAAAATTAGATTTAGAACACAAAAATATACTAATTTACATAAATCTACTTTTGAAAAAATAAATTTCATAAAAACCAAACTAATAAAAACAAATTTCAATTCTAATTCAGCAAAAACAAAAACAGAACTAAGTATGAAACAAATTCAATTCATCATCCATTAATAAACATCATTATATAAAGAAATCTATTAACACAGATTTTATTATCAAACAAATTCAAATCATCGACGTTCTCATCAATTTATTCGTCAATTCTCATCCATTCAAATAATCAATTCTCAATATATCAATTCATCACCACCATCATCATCATTTCTTGCCATCTTATTTCATCATGATAAAACATATTTGATTATAGACTACGAATCATCTTGAATTCATGAATTCTCATTTCAAATCATCACATGAAGATATCAATCCATCAAACCATCATCAGATGAAGATATCAACAGTAGCAACGTAAACATGCCAATCAATTGCAAAAAAAATAAGAAAATAAAAAATCAAATGAAATGAAATCAAAGGGATAAAAATATATATACCTTTGGGAACAACAACACAAACAGTTGCAAGCCTAATTCCAAGCAACAACAACAACAATTTGAAGTCCCCTGTAACAAATGGAACAGATATTAAAATCAACATGCCCGAATTGAAATCCTAAAGAACAAATCCCTAATTTGATACCCCAACCCAAAATCCATAACTGAAAGCCCAAATTAAAACATGTCAATCAATTCAAACCCTTAATTTTAAACCCTAATTGAAACCTCCAATATGAAATTAAAAGAAGAGAGCTATTCCAATTCAAAAAAGGGGAATAAGGAGAGGAAGAAGTTCTTACCTGAGCTATGTTGTCGTCATCGGCAAATAAGCAACTAGGGAATGAGGAGAACCGAGATCAAGATCAGTTGAAACTGGTCTAGTTCGGTTTGATTGCGATTTGTTGACTTTTTAGTCAACTCAGTTTTTGATTGTTTTTTCCCATTCGGTTCTGCTCAGTTTTGCTGTCTCGATGCCCCACCCTTACTTTTGGCTTCCATCGACTTTCTAGGAAACTACGCAAGGTTTTAAAGTGAAAACATGGTAAATCTAGGTAAACCCATTACAAAATTAGACTGAAACAACCCAAGTGAAATTAATAGAAACATGGGATTTGACCTTAGCTCTGTGAGGATGATGTTGAACCTGAAGCAAGTAATGTTGCAACCCCTTCTTTGCAAAATTGCAATCGACACTATGCTTTCATTAAAACACAACATTCGAAAAAAGAAAGAAACATGAAAGATAAAAAAACAACATGAGGTAGTTATGAGGTGAGGGGATGCTTAACAATTGGAAAAATGAGAAGGGGTTTAGTTCTTTTGAGGGAGGGAGATTTGGGGTAGGGAGGATAAAGTTGCGGTAGTGGGTATGGCTTGGGGAATCGAGGCATTGAGATGTGGGTGGGGAAAGTGGTTGGGAGGTGGAGGTGACAGGGCTGTGGGTTGTTGTTGAAGAGAAAGAAAAAAGATAGAAGCATGGGGCCAGTTGGTATTGGTGGACGAGAGGTGGCTGGGATTGTATAGCGGTGCCTTGTTTTTTGATTTTTTTTAATCTCATTTTGATTTCTTTAGTTATTATTTCTTTGTTTATAAATTGAATCCAATCATTTATATTATGTTTTAAAACCGTTTTAACATCAAATTAACGAATTGTACTATATTGGCTAACAGTTTTAAACACGGGGACTAAATTGGCCAATAGGGTAAAACACATGGACCCTTTTAACATTTATGCCTAAAACTAATAAAAACTAGTATTTGAGGAAAATCAAAAGACCCAGACCGAATAGCCACCAAAACTCTCACCCATCCAATCTCGTTAGCCCCCCCACCCCGTTGGCAGCGACCCCTCTCCTTCCCACCATCCACCCAATCCCATCAGCCACCACCCTAAAATCCCATCTCCCTTCTCACCATCAACCAAAAATAAAAAACAAAAAATCCCATTTCTCGCAACACGACAATTGTCATAAGAAAGTTTCATTTTATTTTTCGAGTCCAAAGTCTCCATTTTTCTTTTTGTTTTGAAGGTTTCTGAGTGTGATCAAAGTCACTCAGCAATCCATGGACACCAAAATCGGAGTGCTTTAAGTTTGTAAGCCTGCAAGGAATGAAGTAGGCATCCTCTACCAAATGGCCCCACTATGGCAACTCCATCGTGATCAACTCGTCCGAGGCTACTCTGGGTCGCCACCTTGTTGGCTGACCAGTCCAAATCAGCGTCACCGATGTCTTCACTGTGCCCGGTGACTTTAACTTGACCCTCCTCGACCACCTCATCGCAGAGCCCGGGCTTACGAACATTGCCTGCTGTAACGAGCTCAATGCCGGCTATGCTCACTCTCGTGGCGTCGACGCGTGTGTTGTTACTTTCACTGTGGCTGAGCTCAGTATTATCAATGCAGTCGCTGGAGCCTACAGTGAGAACTTGCCTATGATTTGTATAGTTGGAGGCACTGGTGGATCCATGAATTTTTCAGAGGAGGTGCAACATTCAAAAGCTAAAAGCTCATTAAAAAAAATGTAAACAATAAAATCCCTTATAATTTAACCTAATGAAAATAAATATTAATTAAATATAAAAAAAATGCATATTAAATAATCAATTAAACATTTAAATCAAAATGCATACCTCAAGTCATGTGCGGTGCAGTCTCTTTGAATTTGCTACTAATTATACAGATACAGAAAAAGCCAAATCATAAAAAAAAATATATATATTGTATAAAAAAAAAAAAAAAAAAAAAAAAAAAAAAAAAAAAAGTGATGCAGTGGCGTGAGAGCCTCTCCACCTTGGATTGGGTCTGTAGTATTATGATTTTTCTGTTGATATCTTGCAAGTTGCAAGAACTTGGACTCCTTTGTATACTGATTGATTTCCATGGAGTGGAGGGTAAGGCTTGAGCATGTTTCGTCTTTCTTTCTTTCTTCTCTTCTTTTTTTTTGTTGTTGTTGTTGTTGTTGTTGTTGTTGTTGTAATTTTTAAATTTTGCCCTGGTCCAAAATGACATAGTTTTGGCCAAGAGGTTAAAAAAAAATTTGGAGACGCGCATAGCGCATTAGCACAACATTGCAGCAGCAAAAATAGAAGCTTCACTGAGGCATTTCAATGAGTAGTTGGTAGGCAGCTGCAACGCAGACCGGAGGTGCAAACTCACCACCTCCAAGGTCTATTCCGGCAATGGAAGGTGCAGCTGCACCTCTTTGCACCTATATGGGTTCACCACTGGTTGGAGGACCAAACTCTAGTGACTATGGAAGCAGGATTCTTCACCACACTAGTACTATTGGGTTGCCTAATTTTAGCCAAGAGCTTAAGTGCCAAACGATAAAAAAAAAGAAAAAAAAGAAAAGAAAAGGGAGACATAGAGAATGAAGCTTTGTTGGTCGTGGGGAGGAGAAGGGGTCGTCGCTGGCGGGATAGGGTGTCTGATGGTACTGGGTGGGTGGGAGTTTTGGTGGTTGTTGGGTGTGGGTCTTTTGATTTTCCTCAAATAGTTTTTATTAGTTTTAATTTTATTAAAATCTAACATTGTTATGTTAGGGTTAATTCAAATGACATGTGTCAAAAAGTTAGATAAGGGACAGACCAAATGTGGACAAAAGATCTAGACTCCTTATTAGAATAATATATTCTAATTGATATGTTATTACTATAATATGTTAATTATAGCCATACATAGAGTAGTTTACTTGATATAGGTAGACAATTCCAAATCAATCTAGGTAGACAATTCCAAATCAATCCCTAGGATTGAGGATCACGCTACGGTGACTTTGTAATATTGGTAGTATATATTTTGATGTACTTTACTATTGTCAATACAACAAAACCTTTCAACCAAACATTCTTTACACTCCTTAACCCCTTGAACTATAAGCTCCTTGTAAATGTGAATAGGATACGACTTAGATGGGTTGATGTGATATTGCAAAAGTTTCAATCACATTGTAAAGATAAGATGGGTTAACTCTATGTACAGATAATTGGCTTGTTGACTTCCTTTAATAAATAAAAACACATTAGCTTGTTGATATTAACTTGGGATTCGTTTTTGGTTTTCGGTTAGAGATAGAGAGAATATACGGGAGAAAATGAGAGATGAAGAAGGGTAGAGGAAGAGAGGTGGGAGAGATGATGTTGAAGAAATGTGTATGGAATTTACATGAAATTAAAATTAAAAAACACTTTTAAATTTTTTCCATCTTCATTTCTCCCTCATCCCTCCCACATGCTCCCTCCATCCTCTTTCATATCTCTCTTTTGCTCCATGTATTTCTTTTGTATTTCTAATAAGAAATGTGAAAACAAAAAGCAAAGGCCCATTTGATAACTATTTCAATTTTAGTTTTGAGTTTTCATCTTTTGTGTTAGAGTATAAAAGAAAATGAGAGTGATGATGAGATTCAGAGAGAGGATGAGAGGGGAAGAGTAATAATAAAAGTGAAAACAATTTCAAATAGATATCAATTTTTTGCTTTTTGTTTTCACTTTTATAACTCGTTCCTCCCATCCTCCCTCTCAATCCCATCTTCACTCTCATTCTCACTTCATTCTCCTTCTTTTTCCCTTTATACTCTAGCAGAAAAAATGAAAACTAAAAACTGAAATTGAAATGGTTATCAAACTGAGCCCAACAAGCCCTTCAATTATAAATTTTAAAATATTTGAACAAGGCAAAAGGAAAGAGAAAAGAAAAAAAAAACTGTTTTCATGAATTTATAAATTTTATATAGTAAGTTATTTTTCTTTTTCTTTTTCATTTGTTAATAGTTCGAGAAATGGTATTTGCATATCAATCCTTGAGTGTGCTAGTGGCTGCCACTTGGGTCTTGCGCTCATAATGATCCAGAAGATACAACTTTGTAGCCATGGCCATGGGTGTGAAGCTTCCCCTAAACTCAATCTAGGAAGTGGTATATTTTACAGCCCATGGCAAGCCCAGAGGAAGAGATGAGGGCGACGTTTAGACATTAAAGTGAAAAAGATAAAGAGAAAATAATGATGGTCATGTGATTTTGCTGGGAAAATGTAGACGACAACAAGTTGGAGTTTGAAAACTAGTTTGAACAGAAATCAAAGATAAGGCAGAAGGGAAGAGCGCCCCTTCATCAGTATCCATCATGACAGCTGAAGAAAGGGTCCATATCCAAAGCCCTTCTCTTCGTATTTTCATCATGATGAGGCCTTTAAAATTATATCTGAAAGCTCCCATACAGTTTCCCTCATCGCTTTTGCAAGCCAAAAACATCTCCTAAAAATAAGGGCCAGCCCAAAAAATATCCTATAAATTTCAATGACGCCAATCTGAGGTCATGCTGTGTGCACCTGATTATCGGGTAATTAGGAGCTGAATGAGTCTATGATACAAATACTCTTATTAATATAAATTGTTGGTTCTAACCATGTACTTTTGTGTTTAATTTTAACTTAAGCATATAAAATTAGAGCTCGTTTGAGAGTGCATGTCTCAGCAGTTAACACAAAACGAGAGTTTTGCTCGTTATAGGACTCGACCAAACATCTCACGACACGAGTTGATGACAATCATGCAACACCTGTATGAAAGTAATTTTGGAAAGACCAGAATCACTAATGGGGAGAAGCACCTCCCACTATTCACTTTTTATTTTTTATTTTTTATATTTTTAAATAATTTAAATATGAAAGAAAAGAAAAAAGAAAAGGGTGTTCCTCCCAATCATTAATGTACATCACTAGACATATACTAACCCACTCAAGAGAGTTTAAGAACATTAAGTGAGTTTGTTTTTTCTGGGTGAAACTTGATTTCTTCCATATATATATATATATATATATATATATATATATATATATATAGCAATGCTTAGCTGGTAGATATATGACAAAACATGTGTTACATATAAAAGTGGTATTATTGGAAAGTAGACTTGGATTTAATATTCCACAGAGCAGAGGAGAAACTAGACTCCTGATAACATAATTTGCAGAATTTTTCTCTTTCTTTTTGAGTGAGATGCATGTCATCACTTCCTATACTCACTTAAAGTTGTCAAGAATAAGAAATTTCCATAGAGCATCAACCACAACCAGAGGACAAGAGAGAAATAATAGAATGGTTGAAGTTTTTTTATATTGTTTTGGAAAGAGAAGCATAAGAGGACAAGCTATAAATCAGCATTCCAACTTTCAACCCATGTCCTCAAATATTGTAGGATTATAAGAAGAAGGCTCGCAAATACAGATGGGGGACCAATAATGACCAAGGGAATGTTTCATCGAAGAGGGTCAAGATCCTTGTCAACCCCACCAGGTGGGGGAAGACTAGTTTTGGTGACAAAGCATCATCAGCCCACTAGTCAAATTATTAATTCATGATCATCAACCCATTGAACCAACAACAAACTCTTTTTCTTTCTTTCTTTCTTTCTTTATGTTTCAAATGCCACTGAAATTTTCAAACCCCACAAAATTCAAAAACAAAGTCAATGAAAAGAGAGATGGTCGCATAAGGCGCACAAGTAAAAACCTACAACACTAATGTGAAGGAGGAGGAGGCCCCTTGCTCTAGCATGGCTTACCTACAATTACCAACCCAAAAAAAAATATATATAGAGTTTAGGCAAGGTTGGTGAGGATAACAAGAACTTAGACAAGTTTAAAAAGAGGGGATATTTTCACATTTGCTAAATATCACACGTTTAAAACTTAATCAAACTACTAATGATCATTATGACAATGCACTTAATTTATATTATTTTCCACTAAGGCATTTTTGTATCTTACTTGAATAAGAAAGTATGGCCTAGGCGGGTCTACGGCTGCCTTGAATTCTTTTTTAGTTGTTATATGTATAAATATCTGTTATATTTATACATATCCATAAAACTTTGTCCTTTGGAGAGCCAACTTTTAGAAAGTTGGCAAACAGTCTTTCGGCTAGTATTATACAAATTTTGTACAGTCTAGATGAACAAAGTGGAATTCTTAGTTGGTCTCTTTAGGGAAGATTATGTGTGATGGGTGGGTCGTCATAGTGGCTGAGTAAGCGGAAAATAGAATATGAAAATGGATAACATATGTATTTTTATTCTGCTCGAGATTGAAGGATGTTAATGAGAGGTTTCACCCCAAAATCAATTGGTTATGAGAAGAGTAATCTGACTTTTTATCAGTCTTTGCAAGGTTTTTAAACTTTTTAATATGAGACGTTTTACATTCACATTCTCAGAATCTTGGTTCCTTTTACCGTTATTATGAATTCACCAACATTTTTTTGGGTTAAAAAGAAACAACATATACTGACGTAGCTCAAGAAGAGTTACAATCTTTAAAGAGAACATTGATCCCAAATGAAGTTAGGGGAAATCCTCAATCATAACACATCAGTCTTGAGAGACAATCCATATCTAGCTAGGGTATGGCCACTCCACAATGAATATAGGAGGAGGAGGAGGAGCCATTTCCGTTGACATTATTTAAAATA